CTGATGACGATGTTGCTGCGGCTGCTGTTGATGATATTGATGCTGATGATGATGATGATGATGGTGATGATGATGGTGATGATGCCGCTGGTGATGCTTCTGCTGATGGTGATGATGATGCTGATGACGCTGCTGATGGTGATGATGCTGATGATGGTGATGCCGCGGATGATGGTGATGGTGCTGAGGATGCTGCTGGTTATGATGCTGACGACGAGGCTGGTGCTGCCGATGCTGATGGTGATGATGCTGATGCTGATGACGTTGATGATGCTGATGCTGGTGATGGTGGTGATGCTGCCTATGCTGATGCTGATGCTGATGGTGAGGGTGATGCTGATGCTGATGATGCTGACGCGGCTGCTGATGATGCTGATGCTCATGCTGACGATGCTGTTGATGATGCTGCTGATGCTGATGATGCTGATACTGATGATGACGACGAGGACGACGATGTTGATGATCATGATGATGCTGATGCTGATGCTGATGATTGTGATGCTGATGCCGATGCTTCTGATGATGCTGATGATGCTGATGATGCTGATGCTGATGCTGTCGATGTTGCTGCTGCTGCTGATGATGATGGTGTTGTTGAGGTTGTTGATGATGATGACGATGCTGGTGATACTGATGATGATGATGATGTTGATGATGGTGAGGATGAGGAGGATTATGATGCTGATGTTGACGATGATGATGATGGTGATGATGTTTTGTATTCTGATGATGATGCGGCTGCTGCTGATGCTGCTGCTGCTGCTGACGATGTTGGTGATGCTGATGATGATGATGATGATGCTGATGATGCTGATGCCGAGGCTGCTGCTGCTGATGATGCTGCTGATGATGCTGATGATGATGCTGGTGATGACGCTGATGATGCTGATGATGATGATGATGACGGTGATGCTGATGCTGATGATGAGGATGCTGATGAGGATGATGATGATGATGCTGCTGCTGATGATGATGTGGATGATGATGTGGATGATGCTGATGATAATGATGATGCTGATGATGATGATGATGATGATGATGATGATGAGGAGGAGGAGGAGGAGGAGGAGGAGGAGGAGGAGGAGGAGGGGGAGGAGAGGGGAGGGGGGGAGGAGGGGAGGAGGAGGCGAGGAGGAGGAGGCGGAGGAGGAGGAGGAGGAGGAGGAGGAGGAGGAGGAGGCGGAGGAGGAGGAGGAGGGGGACGAAGATTTGGAGGAGAAGAAGGACGACGCGGAGGTGGACGAGGGGGCGGAGGAGGAGAAGGCTGAAGAGGATGCGGAGAAGGAGGAGAAGCAGGAGCTGTATGCGAAGGAGGAGGCGGAGGAGGAGGAGGAGGAATAGGACTAGGACTAGGACTAGGACTAGGACGAGGACTCGGACTAGGACTAGGACTAGGACTAGGACTATGACTAGGACTTAGAGTACGAATAGGAGGAGGACGGGGGGGAGGCGGACGGAGGAGGAGGAGGATGCGTAGGAGGATGAGGCGGAGGAGGGGGAGGCGGAGGAGGAGGCGAATGAGGAGGAGGATGATCAGGAGGGGGGAGCGATAATGATGCCGATGATGATGATGATGATGATGATGATGATGATGATGATGCTGCTAATGATGCTGATGGTGATGGTGGTGATGATGATGATGCTGATGACGATGATGCGAATGATTATGATGACGATGATGATGATGATGATGAGGATGCTGGTGATGTTGATGCTGATGATGCTGATGCTGCTCATGATACTGATACGGTTGATACTGACGACGCTGATGCTGATTATGACGGCGATGTTGATGATGAGGCTGATGATGATGCTGATGATGATGATGCTGATGTTGGTGCGACTGCTGCTGATGATGACGATGGTGATGCTGATGCCGTCGATGATGTTGATACTGATGATGCTGAGGTGGCTGGTGCTGATGGCGATGACGCTGATGATGATGCGGATGGTGATGATCGTGATGATGATGCGGATGACGATGATGCTGATGCTGCTGACGATGCTGCTGCTGATGATGCTGACGATGCTGGTGATGCTGCTGCTGATGCTGCTCATGATGAGGGCGATGGCGATGTTGATGACGCTGATGATGACGATGCTGCAGATGATGCTGATGATGATGATGATGAGGATGATGATGATGATGATGATGATGTTGATGATGATGCTGATGATGATGGTGATGATGATGATGATGATGATGATGATGATGATGATGATGATGATGTCGATGATGATGCTGATGTTGCTGATGATGATGCTGATGCTGATGCTGCTGGTGGTGACGCTGATGGTGATGTTGATGCTGATTGTGCTAATGATGATGCTAATGCTGATGATGATGTTGATGATGCTGATGGTGATGAGGATTCTCATGATGATGCTGATGCTGACGATGCTGATGCTGATGATGCTAATTCTGCTGATGATGCTGATGATGGTGATGCTGCTAATGATGCTGCTGCTGCTGCTGCTTATGATGATGACGATGCTGCTG